CATAGATTTTGGGAGTTAAATCTAAGACTTGCGACAATGGCTTTCAGTTAGTCCGAAGCTGTACACTCTTGGGCGACCAGCGGGCCGACCACTTCAGGTATCTGCATTCTGCTCCTCCCAAGTTTCGATCCCGCCACCCGGCATAACAGAGTTGAAACGAAGTGGGGAGTACAGAGTACGCAGACTGTTAGAACCATTGTTTTAAATAGCTCGCTATGTAGCTCGTTATTGCTCGTTATATAGCTTTTTTTTTTGAAAAAACGCGACGTAGCCTTATGTATTTAGCGTTTTTCCCGAAAGCTTACGCGAAATGTTGAAACGTCACGCTTTCTTACGCTATTTTGTGTTATTTCACGCTATTGTGCGCTAAATACGCTAGATTTCTGCAAAGGCATTTGAACAATAAAATATTCAAAAACTCGTATTTTTTAGGGATCAAAGTCATATTTACAAATGACAATTAAAAAAAAATTGATAATGATTTCAAATTAAAAGTTTAGAAATACAAAGTCTTAAGTTGAATAGTACAATATTTTTTTTATCCATCTTTGTTATATTATTTTATTTTCGATATTTGACATTTAAATAAAGAATAAAAAGTTCATATATAATGGTTATAATTAGGTTGTAGTTAAATAAAAAATAATAATTAAAATACATATACTTAAAATTATACTATGACTTACCTCATTATATTTCGTCGTTTGTTTTTACTTTTTAATATATTTGATTTATTATTAACTATTTATATTATGATGATATTTATATTAAATATTTGTGAGAATTTATCCCTAAATGTTATTTTTAAGTCATTTAGATACTATGATAATTTTTTGAATCAACCATCTATTTTTATTATATACAAATATACTTATAATATTTCTGTAAAAAAATGTTATACCTAAATAGCTTACGCAACACGCAACGCTATTTAAGCTACGCAGTATAAAGACCAAAATGCGACGCACTACGCTATACGCATTTTAAAACACTGGTTAGAACACAAATTCTGTGTTACGAAATTGTGTTGCAACACAAAAAATAAATTTAAAAGCGGAAGCGATATAAAAAATTATATGTCTTCGAGGAGCGTTCCACTACCCCTCAGAGCTATTTCATTGATAAATCGGTTTTGCGTCCCACAAAATACAACTTGGACTTACTCGACTCAGACTCCCTCCTAGTCTAGCCAACACTATACCCGATCCTATCAACTACTCCCTGGCCATGTCTCGTGGACTTTACACACTCGAACCCCTCGAATAAACCCATTACTTAATTCCTAAGCACTCAAAAAGTGTTTGTAAAAAGAAAATGAAACTAAACAAACTCAGTTCGTCAACAATGTAAGAACGATGAAGTGCTTTGACGAACAAAATAAAAAAATTCTCAAACACTCAATTGTCTGATGAATGATGAACGATTTGTAGCAGCTCTCTTGTCTTCAATTGATTGTTTGAGTATGCTTATATATACAATCTCCTTAAGGTAAGGAGTCTTCACAAGTTTCTCTTTTTTTCCTTTTACGAGTCAATTTCCTTCTTAATTGATTCCTTTCTGATTTGGACGAAATCCTTCATCATTAATAAGTTTCCTTGATGTAGAATTCGTGTATGTGATTGGGAGATCTTCAAATTGAGTTTCCAATAGAAATCTTGTTGTTCTCAGTCCGATGTAAGAACTCGACTTCCTAAAATACCCGATTTTTCAAATCTTCAAAGATCTTGTGGTGAATCTTTCCAAATCCTCCTTAGATCTTCTCTAGAACGTCCAGAATTCCTTATGCACGAATTGCTCATTCATTCATAGTCGTTGTCACTTATTCCTTATCCTACAAGAGAGAGAAAACTAATTATGACATAAAATCAAACTCATTAAAGCATGTGTCATATATGGTAACTAAATATATATGATATATATTATGTAAACCTTCTCCTAAATGTTTGGGACTCCCGTAATACATATTATAATAAATATATACCATATATTATTAATAAAGATTAGGAACTTAAATAATTCATAAGTAAATAAATAGATTTTTTTTTTTATTTAAAATTTATTTTGTTTGCTTAACAAGAAATCTTCTTGGAAACACTTAGGTTTGTCGGACTATGCCACACCAATGTTCTTACAAGAGTATTTCTAATACATTTTGTAAAATTAATTGTAAGAAACTGTGATGGGACTCACAAGTGATATTATACGCCCCCTCAGTTTTGAGTCCTTTATACGAGGTCCAAGCCCAACTCACAAATGATATTATATTGAAACCTTTACACGAGGTCCAAGCCCGGTTCACAAGTGGTATTATATTCTAATAAGGCCCTACTTGTGAGGCCTTTGTACGAAGTCCAATCCCAATTGGGGAACGAGTTGAGTCCTTCATATGAGGCTCAAGCCCAACTCACAAGTGGTATTATATTCTAATACGGTATCTCACTTGTGAGACCCTTATACGAGGTCTAAGCCCAACTTAATTGGGTGACGGGTACGTCATCGCACGGGCCCACGTAGAACCGGTTATGATACCATGTAAGAAACATAGGCAATGAGTTGAGTCCTTCATACGTGGCTCAAACCCAACTGTATTGGGTGATGGGTACGTCATCGCACGGTCCTACGTAGAACCGACTCTTACACCATATAAGAAACGGGGGCAACAGCCAACAGGTGCGGTCCCACGCACGTGAAGTGCACCATAATAAGGTGAACTCATATGAAGCCCAAGTGAGGTTCCATCCCAAAACCAATTGATAGTAGGAGCAGCCCACTAGGCTTATAAGTTTGACTTTCCTTGTATAAACGATGTTGAATAATTCACAAGTGATATTATATTCTGATACGCTCCAAGGGTATTATATTCTAACATTAATAAAGTGCACGATGCACGTGGTATATGATTGATATTGTTCTGTAATCACAAACAATGTATTATTATATTTATATAATTTATTAATTTTGGATTATTATTTTTAATTAAACAAAGAAAATAATTATATTCCATTATGAATATTTATCGAAGATTGAAACATATTTTCAAATAATGATAATATTTGAAAATTATGATGAAAAAGAATACCTGCAAATCACAACATGCCCAAAATGCAATCATTATATAAATAACTAATTGCAAAAATTAGCAAAAAACGTCCACTAACTTTCATTTTTACCAAAATATTTGCAATTTGGTTAGTTATTTTTTTTTTGGTCTTTCTGTAAGATCATCAATGTTACTGGTAAAATTATCATGTGTCCTAAATTATTGATCACATTTTATAATTTTATCTTTTTTTATATTGTTGACTCCTTCAATGTGTGTCCTAAATTATTGAACACATTTTATAATTTTATCTTTTTTGTTTTGTTGAATCTCTCAATGTTCCTATTTCGTGCAGTCTCATGGAAAATTGAACTGGTCATCGAACTGGTGTAGCTACTGGTTCAATGGTTCAAGGGTCGAACCGGTTTAATGAATATAAAATTTCTTATTAATTATATGCATAATATATAATTATAGATATTTTTATCATTAATTTTACTAATTTTTATACTTTATGACATTTATCTAAATAATAACTCAA